ATTTTAGAAAATAAGAAAGATTGAAAATTAATGTGTTAGGTATTTCAGTTGAAACACTTTTTTTTAAAAGAAGATGTAATATGCTAAACTAGACAAAAAGCATGAGATTAATAAAAATAAATACAGCAATTAAACAAATATATATTTTTAAAGAGACAGATATGATCAGCAAAAGCTGGCTCTTTTTTAAAAGACTACAGACAAACTTGTACAGGTTTGTCTTAAAGTGTAGACAAACCCTCTGCTGAGACAAAAAAGAACAGAGAATTCACAAATATATATAAGGAATGAAAAGGAGGATATAACTACTGATACCATAGAGAATTTTTAAATAATGAGGGAATGTTATGAATCACACACCAAAATTTTAGAGGCTTGATTGTAATATCTAATTTCTAAAGAAAAAAATGTGAATTACCAAAATTGACTCAAGAAGGTACAGAAAATCCAAATAAACTAATAATCATGAGAGAAATTGAACTGAATTTTCAAAATATGATGGTTTCACAGATGAGATTTACCAAACATTCAGGGAACAAATAGAACCTATTATATATAAATTATTACAGATAACAGAAAAAGAAAAACATCTAAATGCATTTTATGAGAGTAGTATAAACATGGACAAAGGTAGCACAGGAAAAGAAAATTATCAGTTACGATACCAGTATCAGTTATGAACATAGTTGCTAAAATAAAAAAGCACTTGCAAATTGCATAAGTAGTGTAGTGAAAAATAACAGTACATCATGGCAAAGCAAGATTTATGTCAATGAACGCAAGGATAAATCCATGGTAGAAAAACCTACCAAAGTTATCCATTACTTTAATATATCAGAAAAAACCAATTATCATCTCCAAAGTTTTAGAAAAAGCACTTAATAACATTCAATATTCATTTCATTGTTTAAAAATGTTCCTTTTTAAACTCAACTGGGAGAGAAAAGGACTCCCTAACCTGATAAAGAGTTTCTATCAAAAACTTATAGCAACTATAATAAATAATGATGACACACTAGAAAATAGAAATAGGAAAATACTGCTTACTATTTGATATTATATTGGAGGTCCCCATCCATTCAATGAGATAAGAAAAGGAGAAAGTATTAAGAGTATTATTCAGAGATATTATCTACATAAAAATAAAAGAATTTGCAAATAAACTTTAATAAGAAAGTTAAGCATATTTGCTGAACAATCCAGAGATTAGGATTCTACCCTCTCACTGCTAAGGGCCGGGGTTCAATCCCTGGTTGGAGAACTAAGATCCCACCAGCCACGCAGCATGGCCAAAAAAAAAAGAGGATTATTCTAAAATCAGTAACAATTCCCAGTAGCAGCACTAACCTATTAAATTTTAAAGGATTCCACTTCTAAAAGCAACAAAATAGTAAGATACCTAGGAATAAACCTAACAAGTACAAGAGTTTTAAACTCAAAAGTATAAAATTTACAGAAGGATATGAGGAAATCAGAATAATATTAATACACTGGATGACTCAATTTTATAAAAATGTCATATCTCCCAAAATCTAACCTCCAAGTTTAACTGACCAAAATACCAGAAAAGTTTGTCAACAGAAGTTGACCAACTGATACTAAAGTTAGTATAGGAAAGCAGAGGTCCAAAAATAGCTGTTACAGCTTTTTTTAATGAACAAATAGGTAAACGCGCTTCTATAAATGAAGATTTATTATAAAACCATAATAATTAAAAATATGTGGTACTGGCTCAGAATTGGTTTGGCCAATAGAAAAGGACAAAGTAGAAATCTATCCATGAATATACAGAAATTTAATTTATAATCACAGTGGCATTACCCATTAAGGGAAGGAATGAAAGACTGTTTAGTAAATCAAGTCATGATAACAGTTTTTCATATGGAAACAGGGAGAATAAAATTAAATTCCTACTTTACACCATTTAAAAAATAAATCCCTGATGGATCCATTTTACAAGTGTGGAAGACAAAACTTAAAACATTAAAAAAAAAAATAGGAGGGTCTCTTTGTGGCATCACATGTGGAGAGGTGTCTTTAACATGACACAAATGACACAAACTCTACAGATCAGGGAATATGACTACATTTTAAATTTTCAATAGTTCAAAAGTTATCAGAAGTTAAAAGAGTCACAGAATGAGGCAATATAATGTTATATATGTGAACTCCTACAAACCAAGAGGGGGAAAGATGAAAACATTCACAGCCCATTGGATAAATAGATGAGGACTGTGAAAAAACAAACCACACACTCAGAAACCTTAATAGCCAGTAAATGTATGAAAAAATACTCAACTTCACTGGCAGTGAGGGAAATTTAAATTAACAATGAGATTCTGAGTTTTAAAAAAAATATCTAATTGTCAGAAACAAGAAAAGTCTGAATTTAGAAAGTGTTGAAGGTCATGTGAGGGAAACAGGAACTCTCATAGACTGCTAATAGTTGTGCAAATTGAAAAAATATTTGGCAGTCTCTAATAAACTGAAAATGTGTGTGTAACCTAGCAATTCCCCATTAGGAAGACACAGAAATTCTCACAGGTATGCAAGGGACATAGGAAAACATATGTTCATATGAGCATTGCTGTTAATACCAAAATATTTGCAGTAGCTTCAATATTCATTAATAGGGAAATTAATAAACCCAACATATTCATATACATGGATCTGTAATATAGCAATTAAAATGAATGAACAGGATTTACATTTATCAACATGGTAAGAAAGAATGAAAACATACCACGAAGGGAAAACAAAACAAGTCACAGAATATGTATAGTCTAACACCACACATGTGCATTTTAAAAATCAAAGCAATACTGTGTGTTTGTATGAGTTCATATATAGTAAAAGTATAAACCTAAAGGAAAGTTACATACAAAATTCATGGTAGTACTTGCCTTGGAGAAAAGGGTGTAGAATGGTTTTGGGGAGGAGTACAAAGGGACTTCAATTTTATCAGAAATGATGAACAGCTCAATTAAAAACAGACCTGAAGCAGGTATGGCGAAATGCTGTCATATACTAGTTATATGAGATAGGTACATGGGTGCCTGTAATAGTCTCTCTGCATTTTAAAATAGCTTTAGATGTTTTTCTAAATAATAATATTTTTTAAAAAAAGCTAGTGAGGAATTCTATCTGATACAATTTTAATATGTGTAGAGTGAGAGTTAATAGTCTAAAATGTTGAAGCTTTATAATAATTATCTGTTTTAGAATAGAATCTCCATAAAAATAATAAAGCTGACAGGATCATAAAGCTACTGAAATGAATAAAGTAGATTCTGTAAATGTCAACATGGATAGTTTTCAAAATCATATTGAGGGCAAAAAGTAAGTTGCAAAATGATTTCTACATTTTGCTGTACCATTTATAAAGAAAACTTAAAACATATAAGCATAGACATATATATTTACATGTAAATATATAGAGGTAATTAGGTAATAAAAATGGTAACAGTACTGGAAGCATACACACTTTATGACACTGATTACCTAGGCAGGTAAGAAGAGAGAAAGGTGAATGAAACTGGGGAGGGAAATAAGGTGACAGTCAGCTCTATCTGGAATCTTTAATATAAATAAAAAGCCTGAAGCCAACGTGACAAATATTTCACGTTTGATTATCCTCAGGAAGTACATATATTAATGTTTATTATTCTTGAGGTATCTGCATTTTTAATTTTCAAAAGAAAAAGAAAAGTATTAAAGAACTGCAAATAAACTGCACATAATTCAAATATATATAAGTAAAGCTTGTATACATCAAAAACCACGCTATGACTATTTTTAGAAATTATCCTGTTTGCTTTTCTGTGTGTTTTCAATTTTTTAAGTCAAAGGAGGAAAAAAATGAAAGCAGCGAAGAAACGTAAACATATACACACACATATATCTGACTATATAAAAAGAAAAGGCTCTACAATCACAAAACACCATATGAGCAATTCTATATAATTTGCTGCGTTTTCTTATTTTTAATTTTTGTCAAGAGAAAAATAAAAGACGTTGCCTAATTGGAAACGTGACTTTCTATTATTAAAATTGTGGGAGTCCATTTTAATGTGTTTATCTCCCTGCTAGTCTATAATTTATATTTCAGCGTGGAAATTTGTTTGTATGCCTGTGACAGGTTAATGCAGTTTAAACATGCATTTTTCTTTCGTTGGCTGAATAGTTAAATCGTTACTCAAAGGATTTTAAGTTTCAATTTCAACCATGAGAGGATTCTTTGCTTTTTTCAAGGTTAAAAATGTTTCTGGTTCGAAAATTAATTAATGGCTACCTAGCGGCTCTATTTAGGGAATTGGTACGGACCCTGGGTTGACAGCAGGACTGTTAGATGAGAAAACTTTTTTTTTGGTGAAGACTCAGGGATATTTTAAATCTGATCGGAGAGCGGTAACAGAAGTGAAACGTAATCCCAGCCCGCTTTACTAACAATCGTAATTATGAATCGAAAGACATGTCAGGTATAAGCATTTTTTTCCCTTAAAAAAAAAAAAGTTTCGCGGACTCCGCCGGACACCCAGCTGGCGGAGGACCAGCGGGCGAAGGGGGGGGCGAAGCCGGCAGGCTGCCCAGAAGTTACGATCGGGGAGTTTTCTCTTTATTAAAATTACCTGGCTCGCCGGCAGAGGCAAGAATGCGAAGACAAGATAATTTCTTAGGCTGTTAGGAATGACTTAGCCCCGGTGGGCCGCGCGTTCCGAGGGGTGTCCTGCCGGCCGGGGCGGGTCCCGCCGCCCCCGCGGGCTCCGGTGCGTCAGGGGCGCGTCAGGCGGGGCGGGCTCCGCGCGGGCGGCCGCGGCGGCGGCTGCTGCTGCTGCGGCGGCGGCGGCGGCAGCGGCGGCGGCGGCGGCGGGTGGCGGGCGGCGCGCACCGGGCCTCCTGCTTCTCGCTCCGAGGCAGCGGGGACGGACGCTCCCGAGAACTCTCTCGCCCGCGGCCGGCCGCGCTCGGACGGCGCGCGCCGGCAGCCCGGCGCTGCCAGCATGTCGGCTGCCGTGGCGTGCCTGGACTACTTCGCCGCCGAGTGCTTGGTGTCCATGTCCGCGGGTGCTGTGGTTCACCGCCGCCCGCCGGACCCCGAGGGCGCGGGCGGAGCGGCCAGCTCGGAGGTGGGTGCGGCGCCGCCGGAGTCCGCTCTGCCGGGTCCGGGGCCACCGGGGCCCGCGTCGGTCCCCCCGCTCCCCCAGGTCCCCGCCCCTAGCCCCGGCGCGGGCGGCGCCGCGCCCCACCTGCTGGCTGCAAGCGTCTTGGCTGACTTGCGCGGCGGCTCTGGTGGGGGCTTCGCAGAGTACTCCGGGGAAGTTCTGCGCGCCTCGTCCGGCTCCTCCGACCCGACCCCGTGCTCCGGCCCGACCCTGGGCTCCCAGCCAGCCTCGGCCTCCAGCGCAGCCGAGGTCTCGGAACCCATGCACTCCTCCGGCGCGCTCGAGGTCCCTGGCGCGCCAGACGTCCCGGGAGCGCCTGCCCACCCTGGCGCGGTGTCTGGCGTGGCCCCTGGGGCCGGCCCCGCCCCCGCCACGGGTCCAGGCCCCCGTCGGAGGCCAGTAACACCTGCTGCCAAGCGCCATCGCTGCCCCTTCCCGGGCTGCAACAAAGCCTATTACAAGTCATCACATCTGAAGTCCCACCAGCGCACCCACACGGGTGAGCGCCCGTTCTCCTGCGACTGGCTCGACTGCGACAAGAAGTTTACGCGCTCCGACGAGCTGGCCCGCCACTACAGGACGCACACGGGCGAGAAACGCTTCTCCTGCCCACTCTGCCCCAAGCAGTTCTCTCGGAGCGACCACCTGACCAAGCACGCCCGCCGCCACCCATCCTATCATCCTGACATGATCGAGTACCGGGGGCGCCGTCGCACCCCCCGCGTCGACCCGCAACCCGCCAACCTGGTGGACAGCTCCGGCTCCGTCCCCGGGCAGGTGCCCAGCTTCACCACCTGCTTGTCTGACAGTCACTGCTGTTAGTCGTTCCTTCAAGGACGATCCCCAGGCCACTGTCCTTGCTTTTTCTCTGCCCATCCCTCTTTCCCTGAGTGATTATACCAAGGCACAGACTGGCTTCTCCGCTCCGGGGGGTGGGGGTGCGGGGGTCCAGGCAGGCATGTTGGACTCTGGGGAGGGACTGGGGGCCCGAAAATAGCAGGATTTGTTACAAGACGTATATCATCCAAAAGGGGGGGGATTGCCTCAAGACAGCCCCCCGGAACTGATAAGAAGGGATGAACCCCCGTTCTCTCCAGAGTCCTGAAGATTCTCCCTTCCATGGGAACCAGAGATGTGAAACTGGAATTCTCAGGTGCCTGAGGAGCTCTCAGTCTCAAAAGACTCTGGTGTCTTACCCACCCACCAGGGGGGACCTTGGAGAGGGTGTCAGGGGTGGCAGTCTTGGGAATGTCCAGGACTGGGATGGTGAGAGAGGCCTTTGGAAACAGAAATGATTTCTATTTCTGTAAACAGTGATGTTTACTAATGTATTTTTAGTATCTTTTAAACAGGGATCCCAGGTTGATAGGAGGTCGATGTCCTCCGCACCCCAATTGCCCCAGCTACCTCTGCTAGGAGAGGCCATGTAAGAATCCATGTGGATGGATGGCTGGGAGATGCTTCTTGGTGTCTGGGGAGTGGCATGCGTCTGTTTGCAGGTCCTGTTGCAAGGGCTGAAACCCTGCACTTGCGTCGTTGTCCTAGGTTTTCCTGTCATTTGGAGTCCTACTTGGGGAGGTAACTTCCTGGCTCACTCACAATGAGATTGGTCTGAAAATTTGGAAACAATCATAAATGCACCAGAAATAAAACGGTGGTCCAGGTGAGTTCCCACTTCACCAAGAGGGCAAACCCAAGTGACTGTGGTTGGGACAGGTCCAAATGAAGACCTTTCAGAGTCATTGTTAATGTTCAGGGAAATAAGGACTTTTGGTCCCAGCTGCCACTCCCAAGTAACCTTAGGTGTGGTAGGTTCTGTTAATTTCTAGCTAGCTAGTGGGTTATTTCCCTTGGGATCTGTGCATTTTTGTTTCTGCAACAGGTGAGTTGGTGGTTTTAGGGAAGTGAAGTGGGAGTGGCTTCTTTCAAAAAGCAAGCTGCTCTGGATTTGGGGAAGGGACAGAAAGGTGAAAGTTATTGTCATATGGAAGGACCCTTCTCCCCTGACCTTGGAGCCCCTCCGTGTTGCTCCCTTAGTGCAGGAATTGAGCTTCACCAGTATGTATTTTTCTCTGTGTTTCTGCTGCTATGATGAAATTGTCGGCCACTCTGCTTATGTATGTGTGAATGTGACCCTTTCATTAGAGATGAGGCTGAAAGGCATTTCCTGCTCTGGTAAAGTCCCCTTTGGCCCCCTCCTGAATATCTTGTAATAGTCCATCAATCACACTTGTGAAGGATGCCATATTATCAAAGGACCATAAGAGGCATCTAGTTAAACAGACTGCTTTCCCCTATTTTGCAGATGAAGGCTAGATAAGCTCAAAGTCACATGCTGAGTTGCTGGCAAAAGTCATAACTAAAATTTAGTTATTTGGCCTTCTATCTGACTCTTTCTGTCATTCTTAGTTACCCCATCTGGGCTCTTAGTCAAAGGGCACCACTCTTCCTTACTGCCACCAGGATCCCCTCCTTCCCTATTCACTGTCACTTCTGTGTTCCTTCAGCTGTCCAGTTCCCGCTGAACCCTTTGCCTGTTGTGTTTAACCCGAAAGCCGTTTTCTAAGCAGGTTGAGTACATTCCCTCCTTGCATACAATATGGACTTAAAGTGGGAATGCCTTTATCTTTTAATCTGGTAGATTACTGTTCAATGCCAGTTTCTAGTCCTGGACACTCTAGCTTCCTTGAGAGAGCAAGTGATACAAATGCGGGGACTCTACTAAGTGCTCACTACACTAAGTGAAGGAAAGGTATTTAGGAAGGACCCAAAGGGTATAAAGAAGTACAATGTTTCCCTGTTGAGGACTAAGCAGGGTGAGTGGAGCTCTCCTTGAGTTACATGTGGGAAGAGGAGGCCCCGAGTCGTGAAAGCGGGTTTTGGTTGTGGGAAGTCCTTCGTTTGCTGGTTTTGTCTCCTCAGCTGGGACTTGATAAGAAGGGCACTCTGGGGCCCTCTTGAGGACTATGATTTCTCCTTTGTCCCCTTCAGTAGAAGCGCTGCCATGGGGTAGGCGGACCGATGAAGTTAACGTGAGAGAAACTCCCACTGACCATTCTGGAATTGGGCTCAAGAAAGCGTGATGTTTCCTATCACCATCTGATAAATAATGTTTGCTTTTCAATCTCCCCAGTAGTGTCCTTATTTGAGTTCTTGTACCTTGGGGACTTTTGTCTGGGATTGGCCTCTGACAGTCTAAACGCGGCGTGTCTTTCACTGACTTCTCCAAGGACTTGGGGTGGTGGGAAGGGAGACAGATAATGGGGACAGTATTTGTAGGCTGGTCTTTCTTGGCCTTGGGTATTGTTTTACCCTTTTCACTCCAGCAGCCGGAGAGCTCTTGAGGACATTATTAGTGAAATGCCTTGAAAGGGCCTTCCTAGTTTTATTAGTGTTTCTTTTGCTTCTTTTTGCTCGTCAGATGGACCTTAGCAAGTGAATATGTCTGGAGTTTGGTGGGGTCAATCTGAACCTCTGGCCATTGCCCTACTCCCACCATCCTGAGTTTTGATATAGGAATGACCTAGTAACATTGAATCTATTTATCAAATTCTTCCTGAAATATAGGTTGGGGGCTGGGAGTGAATTCCACGTCAGCCCTTGGGCATGAGGGAATGGGATCCCCTGTCCCTGCTGGAAGGGAATGAAGAGTACAGGCTTTGTCCCACCTATGGGGACAGGAGTCTTTATTTGTCCTTATTTTCCTATTCTCCTCCAAGTAGACAGTTGTATTGGAATTCACTCTTGGCCCTTGTCTGCACCTCTTACTCACTTGTCTCCAAAGGAAGATTGTATTCTCTGATTGAGACATAGGGAAGAGGGTCATCATGAACACACACACACACTCACTCTAAGCTCTCTTCTCTTTTTTGAACCTCTTTGCTTGCTATATGTACCCACACCACTCAGCTTTCATATGGTAAGCACACCTTCTGTGGGCTAGGCCTGCCTCTTGTACTTCTTTGCCTGCTCTCTGTACCCACACCACTCAAATCCCAGTTTTCATATGGTAAGCACACCTGCTGAGGCCCAGGCCTGCCTTGCAGAGGCAAGTCTGAAGAGTACTTCTCTCTGTCTCCACTTTTGGAACAGCCATGCCCCCTTGCAACTCGCCAGGTAAGTGTTTCTTTTGTATATTCTTTGGGTGAGTAATCCCAATAGAGGAATCAGGAAAGGTGTGAAAGGTAGTGGAGGGGTGGCTTTGGAAAGCCCAATTTGGTTATAGGTACAGCCTTCTCAACAAAATACTGATATTTTGATCTTCATTGGTCTGATTCTTGTATCTATTACCTAGTTGGTTGAGAACTTAGAAAGGAAATGGATGCAATTAATTGTTCTCCTTAAGCCCTAACACATGCAAATATGCATTGTCTACTAAGTCGTGAGAAATAGGCAGTCTGACTGGAATTAGGGGACCAAAATAAGATGGAGATGGAACATCTGGTTTTCCAGGGCACAGACTTTAGTGCTATAGTGATTTGGGGCCTTTTAGTTCTTTGACATTTTCAAGTTCTAGAAGCTTATGGTAGCTAGTGTCCACAGGCAAGTCATTATTTTTTTAGAGGTACTAGATATAGGGCTTTGCAAAAGTAGTCTGTACAGGTCACTGTGACTGATCTTGATTCACATAGATACAGTTGAGGCTTCATATAGATATTCACAAGAATAGGCTTGCTGCAGAAGGGAAAGGCACTATTGAATAGGAAAATCTGTGCTGCCTTTTATTCTCTGCAAGAATTCCAGATGAGGAATTTAAGAAGTTTTGGCAGAAGTTCCTTGTGTACCTCAAACAAACTTGGGAGAGTCTAGCCCTTCAGTTTTACTGGGGTAATCCCCAGGTGGCATTAGAATAGTTTCACCCAGTTTGGGCTAATCTTGATTTGCATTGCATCCTTTTATAGGGTCTATGGAGAGACTTCTGGAAGGGGTAAAGTTCTTTAAGTCATATGGGTATTAAGAGTCACCTTCCATTTATGTCCCAAGTTGGTGCCTCATGTGTTGACCATATGAGCCCTGATGGGAATTTCAAGGACTCAAGTTGTTTGTTCAGTCACAGAGGAATGGTGGATTTTAATCAGAAATGTAAAAGGGAATGCAAATGTTTGTTATATGGGGATTTAAGGTAAAGAGAAGCAATGCTATTTTAATTCCAAAGGCCAGGAAGAGTATTAAAAAGGGTTGTGCCTGGATTCTTCTCTCCCTAGGAAGCAGGTCTATTTAGGAAATCAAGTAGGAACTATACCTATTTCAAGTATATGTGCAGACCTGGAAGTCAAAATGGAAGCACTGGGAGGGTGAAAAGTGAATAAAGGAAGAGAGACCAATTGATCTGGAGGACGAAAAGGATTTCTTTAAAGCAAATGTTGTGTTCTTAAAGGACACAGAAACATTGATAATATAAATTGGAAAATAAAAATGGCAAAGAGCCAAATGATCTTAAGATGAGACTATAGAAGAGGGTGGTAATTTACTCATTACCAAAGTAGAGGAGGTAATTGGAGCCCAAAGAGGTACAACAGAAGAATGGAAGCAAATTCTCAGAGAGGAAACAGAAATGTGCACTTCCACTAGGGATCTCAGATCCAAGGAAATACTGAGAGGTACCTACCTGAATCTGCAGAGGAAGCAATAGGAAATCATCCCATTAACACTAAGATAAGTATATTAGAAGCTTACAGAAAATATAGATGTACCTTCAACATTTTTAGCTTAGTATTAGTGATATTACCGTTTTAAATAGGATCACAAATGTGTACATTCTTCATTCTCTGTATAGAGAATGTACAGAGTTAGGCCTCTAAGGGAAGGCATAAGATAGATGA